AAAACAAACAACCAAAAACTCTAATAATTCACTCTAGGACAGTGTTACAATTAAGGAAAGATATGTTTTGTACTACAAACATCAGAGTCTTTTGTTACAAAATAAAGTGTGTTGTAACAGAGCAACATCTTCAAATTAAACTTCCCAGCAGTAGCTAAAAACATGAATACAGCAGTGCACTATAAACAAAGGGGTCAAGATTTCTGAAGTTGCAAGCTACATCAAAAACATTCCACACTACAAGAGTATGGTAGAAATATTATTAGTTTTACTTTAAGAATGCCCAAACAATTCAAATTAATTATTTTCATACTTTCTTTCTTTCTTTTTCTTTTTCTTTCTTTCTTTCTTTCTTTCTTTCTTTCTTTCTTTCTTTCTTTCTTTCTTTCTTTCTTTCTTATTTCTTTTAATGTTTATTAAACTTATTGGGATGACATTGCTTAGTGAAATTATGTAAGTTTCAAGTGTACAATTCTATAATACATCATCTTTATTTTGTATTGTGTTTTTGCCATTCAAAGCCATTCTCTGTCCATTACTATATATTTGACCCACTTTGTATTTATAGAAAAATGTTAGTGATGTTTCACTGGCTTTGTTACATTTCAGAATACATTTTTTAAAGATTACTGTGACAAAGCAATGAACTAGTTTGTTAGAGTCAGTTCAGGAAATAGAGATAGAAAGAAATCACATCTTTCAAAACCACTACAGAGATTGTAAAAAAAGTCATAAGTCTTTCTTGTATCCAAACACTTCACAATTGGACTTCATAACAACTCCTAATAAAAATGTCTAACTACATATCCCTTAAATCTATGTTGGGCTTCATCATTAGCTTGCAGCAGAAGTACATATATGGTAGTACTGCAACAAAGGTTCAAGAAGCTTTGCATATTTTCACTTTCTTTCAGAAATTTTCCAGTGGGATGGACTAACCCAGAATAGCCTACTGGATGATAACAGCTCACATGAAGGGGAGACTAACTATTTCATCTGAGGTCCTGGTCATATGAGAGTTTAGCAAAAGTGCTTATCTAACCCACAGTCAGCCATGGAAAAATGCAAAAGCCAAGACAAGAGATTCTCAGCCAACCCACAGACTCATAAGCAATAATAATGACTTAGTTATTCAAGTTACTAAAATTTGGGATAGTTTATTATACAGTAAACACTAAACACTAAGGGATACAACCACAGAACTAGAAAAATCATGTATGCAATTGCATATTTAACAGATACCTTCATAAATCTCATATTTGTCTAAGTCATTTACATTGACATCCTTAAGGATTTATTACACATATATCTCCTTATTGTTTTCAAAAACATCCTTGTGAACTTCTAGGCATTAATCTGTAGATTATTCAACACTCTTTTCTCTTCTGTTTCTATTACTGTTATGACAAAATAAACCTATATACTATGGACAGAAAGGGGGCCACATGTTAAACCTGAAAAGCTCAGGAAACTGAAAATAACCACAGACGATGGTGTGAACATAAAAATTTTTAAATAGGGCCAGCCGAGTGGTGCGATGGTTAAGAACTGGCTTGGGATGCCAGAGGGCCCCGGTTCGGATCCCACATATGAGGACCAGTGACACTGCCCTCCACAGCTAACATTCTGAACAACAGCTCAACCTGGACCTGGGCTGCCATGAGTCGCTGGCGACGGCGTAGGCTGCAGCCCCTGTGGCAGTGGGTTGCCATGGGCTACCGTGTGAAGCCAGCAGCCAGCGTGAGCGGCCAGCAGCCACAGTGAGCGGCCGTCCAGAAGCCGGTGACTGATCTACCTCGCCCGGGAAGAGCGCAATGATGGTGTCAACTTGGGCCAGTGAAGCAACGTCCTCCACAACTAGATTGAAGAACAAAACGACAGCAGCTTGTCTGTTCCCCTTCCCCCAATTCCCCAGCACTGTTCCCATCCCCCCAATTCCCCAATAAAAATCTTAAAAAAAAATTTTTTTTAACTAAGTGGGCCATGGTGGGAAGTCACATCTTCATCTTCCTCATTAAGTTAATCTGTGCCTTTTCAGTGGGCCTGTTGTCTTTCTGTAC